GAGGGCGCCACCAAATTTTGAGGACACTTTTTTAATTGGCTCAAAGAGAGAAGTGGCCCATCTTGTTATGTACTATCATTGGTAAGGGTTAGAAAGACTGTCACTCGTCCGAGCGTTTGATGTGAACGCGCAGTTACCAGACCTCGGAAAGAGGCTTGTTTTGAAAGTAAAAGCGGAACTACGAATATTATCGATTTTAGTATGTCCTAAACTGTAACAGTTACCAGGCCATCAGAGAATTCTGAGTGCGGGCAAAGATCACACACAACTTGGGGCGAGTCAACTACTAAATGCAGCATCGATATTTCGGGAAATAGTGCTCCGAATTCCTTCTGACAAAAAGTTTCCCGCGATAAAGGAGAAGGCAGAGTAAGTTTTTAGAGAAATCTGGCACAACAGCGGACTGGGACAAAAAATCGGGATACACGCGATCGAAATCGGGATGCTTGAGATTTGGGGCAAAAAATCGGGATATCCCGACTAAATCCGGATAAATGGCAGGTCTGCAATGAGTTTCTACAGCACGCACTGCTTACCGTTCCTCTTTTAATACCCAAGGGCTTCCACAATTTTACCCAACCAGGTGGCAAATGTGTTACCTTAAAATGGTTATCATTCAGTCAAATATTGATGGATTTGTTTGTGTGAGCACTCAAACTATTCGTAATTTGACAAAAAATCACAATATGGGTGAAAATAGGTAGTAAATGTAGCACAGGATAGGGTGTACATCTTTGAGTTGACGAAATCGGTACCCCCTAAAAGCCTTTTAAGTGGTGAACCGTTAAAACAAGTCCTCACCTGAACCAGAGTCCAAGGAGTTGACCATGTCCTCTGTGGCATCACCCAGCAAGCCCCGCATACGATAGAGCACTGGCATAGGATCACCCTAGAACAGATACAAAGAAAACATATAATACATTACCACCATAGGATCACTCTGAAATAGATAAGAGGAAAACATATGATACAGCACCAGCATTGGAACACTCTGAAACATCTGTCTCTTCCATCCATCTACCTAGAAAAAGTACACGGTTGTCTTAAAAAAAGGTCTCATTAAAGGGCAATAACTTGGTCATCTTTGCACCAGTTTCAACAAATCTTCGTATAAATAAAATTCAACTGAGGTGACATTAAAGTTGTCAATATGAGGAAGATCATGATTGAAAAAATGTCAGTTTATAAACTCATCTAGTAACTTCTTACCTCTCCGTGTTCTGGCAGCCAAATCTTCTTGTAGACTTCTTTCACTGGCAAGTCAAGGCTAATAATCTTCTTGTTAACAAGCAGCTGAAAAGAAAAAGCCAAACTGAGTGTTTCTATAGAGGCCATTACATGAAACCCAGTTTGCTGATTTATTCTGAAAATTGAAAAGACAAACATGAATTTGTAGATTGGAAGTTTGGTGACAAAAGTTTACAGACTTACCTAAGTTTTATTTTTATTACAACCGATATACTCATCTTAGTTAAACTCAACCTACCAAGCCATGAAACCTCAT